TGCATTGATTTGTTTCTGTGTAAATGATCCTGCAATCATAGCAAAGCACTGTAATCCTTATCCTACACACTTTTATTGAGACTCATGGAGTTGGGTTTAATCTTAGAAGTCAATTAGTCCTACTTCCTGGTCATTGCAAGATCCACCACAGAGCATTTCTGTCAGATGATCATCCAGTTTCTGTTTGAAATCCTCCAGGGAAGGAGAGCTTACCACCTCAACTGGGAGTCCGATCTGCCAGGTGACAACTCATACAATCTGGATGTTTCTCCCCCCCCCCATATTGGACCTGAACCAACTTTGTTGTAGTTTAAGCCACTGTATCTAGATCAGGGCTCTCCAACCTTGGCAACTTTAAGCCTTAAAGTTGCCAAGGTTGGAGAGTCCTGATCTAGGGCAATAAAGAAGTTCCCTCTTCTATGTGACAACCCCTTCAACTGCTCCATCAGTTAGCTCTTCTGTCAGTTAAACATATATTGTATTAAAAAAAAATATTTTTACCATTCCTGATAGGGCTAGATAACAAGGCCTTTATTATATTCATAGCCCTCCTCTGAATTGGATGCAGCAAGTGGGATCTGTCTAGGAAAGAGTAGGGTGGAACAATTCCTTCCCTGAGGCCCCGATTTTGTGCTCTTGTTAATATTATTCAAAATAGCATTGATCTTTTTAGCAGTTGCATCATACTGCTGGCTCATATTGAATTTGCTAACCAAAACACCCAGATCACTTTCACATGCACTATTTGCAAAGCCTGTTTTCCCCCCCCAACCTATACTTAGGGTTTTTCATATCTAGAAGGCAGAATTTTATAGGTATATTTTTAAATGCCAGTGATTGAGCCAGTCTAGATGCTTTTGAATCTTCTTTTTTCTTCTTCTAAGGTATTAGCCGCTTCTCCCAGCTGGGTGTCATCTGCAAACCTGATAAAAGTCCCAGGAATTCTCTTACCTAGACCTTTGATAACATATTCATCTCTATTATTTTTAAGCTTTTTAACTTTGTAAGATGTCTGACTGACTCTAACTCATGTTTTTCTAACATAATGCCAAATTATGGCATTAAGGTTTCCCTCGCACATATGTGCTAGTTGTTCCCAACTCTAGGGGGCAGTGCTCATCTCCGTTTCAAAGCCGAAGAGCCAGTGCTTTCTGAAGACTTCTCCATGGTCGCGTGGCCAGCATGACTAACTGCCAAAGGCACATGGAACTCAGTTGCCTTCCCACCAAAATGCATTTTTTTAACGTGCTTTCAAACTGCTAGGTTGGCAGAAGCTGGGACAAGTAACAGGAGTTTTCCCCGTTATGTGGCACTAGAGATTTGAACTGCTGAGCTGCCAAACTTTCTATCAACAACCTCAGCGTCTTAGCCACTAAGCCACAGCATCCCATCTGTGGCATTATCATATGCTAATAAACTGTTGATTACATAGACTAATCACTATACCGTACTTATTTTTCCCCCTAAAGCATTTAGATTTTTATGAAGACTGAATCATTTTTAAATCTATATATATTCATAAAAGCTAATTTCACATAGTCAAATCCAAAGAATTAGGACTTTCTAGAGAAGAATGGAAGGAGAATGCACCTGTAGCTTCCAACAATTCCGCTGGATTTAGGCAAAAACCTAGAGAATAAGAAATATAGAGAAGTGATTTTTATTACTGCTTTGTTACTATATTTATCTACCCAGCCATGGATAGTTGGATTAGAGGCTTGGATAAATTGATCTATTTAGATAGTATTTGAGAACACCAAATACAATACAGCTCATATTATTTCACATCAGTTTTCTTGGTGCTGTAAATCTACCCCTTTATGCTGACTCTATAGAAAGAGACTAATTATATCCACCTATGCAGTACATACATACCCACAGACCATGCGAGTCACTTATAGGACTGCATGCAACTTCAGCATGCATTTGTATCCTCCTTCCACTCTAAAACCATGCTACTGAAGTTTGTTGATAAGATGGTCGCTTTGAGGGGTGCATATTCAGCCTGTTCTGAGGAGGTTTGGATGCTTTAAAGTGGGAATGGGAGATGCTGGCCTTCCAGAGGCCTCCTGTTTTAAAATATCACCCTTGCCCCTAATTCCACCTCTAAAATACCTCCAGAATCCTAAAAGGACACCGTATTGCTAATTTAATTTCTTAGTGTAAAGAAGAGAATGAATGTACTCTCCCATTTACCAACAGCTTATTAGGAAAATGAAAACAGCGTGGGAAGAGAGATTTTATTTGAACCATTTAATTTGGGATGAGCTGTCCATAAGAACTGCCAAAGAAATAAAAGTAGATTGTACCAGTTCTTGTGGCAAGAAAACAACTGCCATCATTGTAGATCACTTTCTACAAAATCTCTTGCTTCCTCTCCCTGTTTAGTCTCTGAGATAATATTTGCTATCCCAATAGTGGCAGGAACGTGGAAATTGCTCCTGTCACTATTGGATTTGGAACTTGGAATTGCACTTGCTAAAACCTTTTTTGCAGAAAGAAGTCTACTGTTTTTTCTCCAGCTTTTTTTTTATTGCTTTTGAAAACAATTAGCATTGCTTAAACATCTTTATTTAAATTGTATTTGCCACTCTCATAGCACAAGTTTTGAGACAATGCAAATACCCCCAAGAGGAGAACCTCGTTATCATGATGGTTGGACAGCATCTCACTGAACCCAATTCCAAGTAGCTTTCACATAGGCCAAAAAGCTACATGCTTGTCTTTCAATATATTTGAAAGCCCAGTGAAGTCAATCTTTTCTTTTGCAGAATTTGAAACCTTGAATTTGCTGCTAGTCTGTCTTCCCAGTTGGTGAGAGGTCTTGCCACTTAGCTCCTAAAATGAAGGCACCAATTACTCTCTTCATTTTGGGACCAGAGTCACAAGGGAAACCCCCACCCCCACCCGGAACAGTAACCCTCCTTTTGCAACTGGCTGATCCCCTTCTGAAAAATAGAGGAAATATAATGAATCATTGTCAATTTCACACATGAAATTGATACATCTAGGCTTGCCTGCATTTAGGAAGAGTTGCAAGAATCTGAAAGCAGTGAAAGCCACCAATCCTAAATTAACCCAATCTCCAATCCTAACAGCAACAAACAGCTGGGAGTGGCAGTATAATAAAAATCATCTTGTTGCAAAATTGCTGACGTGCATCTTTTTAACCAGACTTTCAAGGGATAGGCAAGGCAGAGCCCTGATTAAATGCTTGCAGGGTTCCCCACCACCCCACATTCTCCTGTCAACCAATTGAAGGAAATACGTTGTTCTTTGTTCTCAGGCACCCAAGTTGGCAAAAGTGAAGCTATTCAGGGAACAGACTCACACTGCTTTTGAGAGACCAGGGAGTGAAAAAACCTAACCCAATTCCCTGGTTACTGGATGACACAGACACAGCACAATCTCTGTCCTTTGAATCATATTTTGCAGAATTTCTTTACCATTTACCAGAATAAGGCCTAGTTGGAAGACTCAATAGAAACGTTGCCACTCCCTGAAGCAGCAGAAACACCTTCCAAAGGGATTGATTTACTTTAAGGATTGTTTTCAGTCTTTAAAAAATGTACTTTTTTCAGGAACATTAAGATATTGGCTGACTACTTACTTGAATATTTGCTCAGAAGTCTAAGCAGCAGTCATAAATAATCACTGTTAATCATCCCCTTTTTTTGGAAAGAAATTAAACCACACACTTAAAATATGTCCATTTACTTTTGTATAAGAAAATGCATTCAGTCACTTGGATGAAATGTCTGCCTCTGACTGTATGATGTGATTTACCATCTCACAGTAGGTATTGTGTTGAGACATCACCAAACAGGCCTCCTTAGAAATTTTTGAGCCAAGATTTGAAAGCTATGCAAAAGACGAAAGCTAAGTAATATAGGACATGTGGCTGAAACTCTTTCTAAGCAATCTTCTACCTATAGCAATCTATAAGAACATTTTTTAAAAAATGCATTTTTGATAATTAAAAATCATGCAGCTTTATCACAGCTACATAGTCAGGATTAATGTTGAAAGCCTTTGCAATGGCAGTAAATTTCCAGCCTTGTCCTGTAGACAGGATAGTTGGAGGAAAAAGTATCTGATAGTTTCTACAGCAGTGAGCTATTTATGTTTAGAATAGGAAGAGTAGGTAATAAGTCAAACATTAAATTGGTATTATTTGTATAGATGTTATTCAATATTTGGAATTTTGAAATGAAATTGGAAGAAAGATCAAAGGTGTGTTAATTATTGGTTAAAAGTGAATCAAAATATCAACAAGTATTATTTATGTAAATAGTTAAAACACTGCATATCCGATACAAATTGAAAATGTTTATTATATTTATGTGTTCTACGTTATTGTTTGAATGATTGTTTTGTTTGTTTGCTTGTTTGTTTGTTTGTTTGTTTGTTTTTCTCATTTATTTCCTTTTTGTTCTGTAAAAAATCTCAATAAAGTCTATTAAAAAAAAAAGAAATTGGAATTTTCTCAGATACATGTATTTGGATTACAGTATCGGAATCAAGGGAATTTTAAAATGGATGGTTGTATTAGGTAGTGGGTTCCACTTACCTTCGCTACTGGTTCGGAACTGTGAGTGCTCGCGTGCGGTGCTTCTGCGCATGCGTCGAACCTTCTGTGCATGCACAGAGCATCCGTGATGACAACCAGGCGGGTGGGCAGAACCTCCTGGCTCCACCACTACCAGTTCACCTGAACTGGGGCGAACCGGTTGCATTTATGAATTGCTTGCTTGTATACCCCATTCCATTGTTTTCTGTAATCTAGTATTTTCCTTACCCAACATCTGTATTCAAATTCAAATATTAGCATGGGAATAGTTATGAATGAAATGGGGGGGGGGCTGGCTGAGGAATTCTGGGAGTCCATAAGTCTTAAAGTTGTCAAGTTTGGAGACTTCTGCCTGGGACAAATGGCACGTGACCATTTCAGCTCTCTTCATTGAACACTCATGCACTTAGATACTTATTTGTTCTTGCAGGAATCAAGGAAAGTGCGTTGAAGGCATGGTAGAAATATTTGACATGCTGCTGGCCACTTCTTCTCGCTTTCGAATGATGAATGTCCAGGGGGAAGAATTTGTATGCCTTAAATCTATCATCCTACTCAATTCTGGTAAGTAAGACATGTATCTTTAAAGTTACAATTTAGCCTAATGGATGACTTATTCCAGGAGAAGGATAGAAGAATGTAATTATTTTTTTCCTGGATATCTCAGTGGCTTTAGATATCACCAACCATTGTATCCTTCCTAGCATTATTAGGTGGCACCATATTATAGGGCATTCTTATTTGGAAGATTGATTCCAGAAGATGGTTCTGTGAAGGTCCTTTGATCCCTGGCATTCTGCTGTGGACCTGTCAAGTTTCTGTTCTATTTCTCTGTCCTTTTATCATTGATATGATATATAGTTAGTCCTTAATTTACAACCACAACTGAGCACAAAATTTCTAAGTTGCTAAGTGAAATAGTTGTTAAGTTAATTTTGTCCCATTTTACGACCTTTCTTGCCACAGTTCTTAAGTGAATCACTGTAGTTGTTAAATTAGTAACAAGGCTGTTAGATTAATCTGGCTTCCCCATTGACTTTGTTTGTCAGAAGGTCCCAAAATCTTCTGGGACCCTGGGACACTGCAACCATCATAAATATGAGCCAGTTGCCAAACATCCAAATTTTGATCATGGGATGCTGCAATGGTCATAAATGTGCAAAATGGTCATCAGTCACTTTTTTCACTGCTATTGTAACTTCAAACAGTCACCAAAAGAATGGTCGTAAGTCAAGGACTACCTGTATATGTTTGAGCAGATTATCTGAGGTGTGAAAGAGAGCAAAGGAATTTCTAAGCTGTTGGCCTTATTTGTGGCTTGGCTTTGACATAGTAGCATGGACAGTGGCTACTATAGTTCAGGTATTCAAGAATGGAAAGTTTTGCATTCTCTCCTCTTCCTCACTGCCACCCATGCTCCATGAAAAACACTCCATGTACATGTACATTTGGGCTGTTCTGATCAAAATAGGAAATCCCATAGAGACAACTGCAGGAAGAGAAGATTTTTCTTCTGTGTAGTTCTTTGATTGTTGTTAGTACAGCGACTTGTCTTTGGAGCTAAGACAATGTTTTGCAAAACCGTCTTGTTTTAGAGTAACAATACTCAAAAAATATGTTCTGTATAGTACATTCTTGGGGTGGCACGGTGGCTAGCAGTTAAGATGGTGGGCTTGTCAGCTGGAAAGCTGGGAGCCCAGGTTCGAGACCCAAGCACCACGCAACAGGGTGAAATCCTGTCCCAGCCCCAGCTCCTGCCAACCTAGCAGTTTGAAAGCATGCAAATGCGAATAGATAAATAGGTACAACTTTGGTGGGAAGGTAACAGCATTCTATGATATCATGCTGGTCACATGACTGCAGTAATATCTTTGGACAGTGCTGGCTCAATGGCCTTGAAATGGAAATGAACACCATCCCCTATAGTCAGCAACGACTAGCGGAATAAAATCCACAGGGACTCCCATAGTGCATTCTTACCTCCAAGTCCATCTTATTAGGATAGTAACTGGCCCTTATTGTTTACAACTAACACTTTGATGTTAGGTGCTTACGGGATAGCATGTTATTCATTTTTTTTTGAGTGTCATTTTATTCTCATTAGCCTACTCTCTGTGGATTGAAGCTGCTGTAGTCAAAGCAACCAACAACACAAATTATTGTGGCATCAGCATTCTGAACAGATTATGCAGGAAGTGCTTCTGTTTTCACAGAAAGGAAAACAAAACAAAACCACCATTAATATATACAAAATAGGATAGCAATGCTAATGTTAAATAAGAACAAGATACAGCACTGAGAAGCATACTTTATTTTAGAAACTGCTTGAAGAGTAAGATTTGTTAGAAGACGAGACAGCATTTACAGCAGTTATTGTGATTAAGAAAATCAAGAGCAAGAGGCAGAAAATGAACTTTGAATGGCTATCTCTGACTAAGGCAATCAAAAGCAACATAGTACCACTGCAATTAAATTACATTAATATGATATGCCAGGCTGCATATCATATTAATGTAAACTCATAAAGAAAAAGCAGGATTAAATCCAACATACAATTATCATGTATAGTGCATAATATATTTACTTTCTCCTGAGGAACAATGCCAAAGTGAACACACATTTCCAATTAAAATTAAATTACATTTAAAAGCAATTTACAATTTTTAAAAATACAGTACAACCTGCTAATATTAATAAATATTGGCCTGGACTGACAGAGCTGAGGCGACATGGAAAGGTAACTGGTAACTTTATTGAACTAACTGCTGGCAGGCATAGCAACAACAACTCCCACGCTTGACAGCTCCTTTTATACCCGAGCTGTCAACATCTCAATCAATCAGAACCATCGGGGTTACCGGCCTGGCCGCTAGGGGCCGCCGGCAACGTAGCTTGGTATGCAACAAATATAATTTAGTTAGAATCATAAATTGCTGTATCTTAAATGTCCATAACGCAATCCCCCACAGTCCCAAGTGAAAAAAACTCTACAGATCTATACAGTGGTGAAATCCTCTGTGGGTTGCCACTGGTTTGCTGCCCGCGCATGCATGCTGAACGCCAAATGCACATTGCGCACACACATATCCACAGTGCATGCCAAATGCATGCTGTGCATGTGCAGTGCACACCAAACGCACACTGCACGAGCACGCACGCGCAGTGCACACCAAATGTGCACTGTTTGAAGGTAAGTAGAACAGTGAGGGGGGCAATAGCTGTGCCGCACAATTTAGATTCGCTAGAAAGCAGGAAACCGTGCTTTATAGCGAATCTAAATTACACAGCACAGCTGATCGTCGGAAATATTGGTTCTGACAAACCAGTAGCTTTTTTTTACTACCAGTCTGCCCGAACTGGTAGCTTTTATTACTACTGGTTCACCCGAACCGGAGCAAACCGGTAGCATTTTACCCCTGGATCTATACAATTAATGTCTTGTGAAGGTCAATACAATTCACCACCTATGTATTTTGACCAGGGGTGAAATTCACTTCACTACCAGTTCGCAAATGTGAGCAAACGCGCCTCATCCACGCATGTGCACAGCCTGGGCGGGTGGGTGGAGCCTCCCGCTGCTGGCACTACCGGTTCACCTGAGCCGGATAAAACCGGCTGAATTTCACCACTGATTTTGACTTGCCCGGTCCTGTCCAACTAAAAATTGGGGGAAGAGAGATGGAAGAGATCTGGCAAACATGGGGTACATGTTAAAATGGGTTAAATGTGGTGGATCCCTAACTGTATATGGCAGGTATTTACACACATCCTCTGCAATTCAAGACACTACAAGTGGAATTTCTCCAGGTATTAAGACAACAGCTTGCTTCTTGATATAAAGGCATAATCAAGATGTCATTTCAGTAACAAACATGATGTTGTTTACTATGCATAAGTACTGCCCATTTAATTACATAGAGTTATCTTTTGCATAAAAATAAAGCATCATATTTATTAAATGTATTTGCTGCCCATCTCATTTTAAAGCGACTCTGCAACATAACGTTGGACTCTTCTGAGTGCCATGCTTAATAATAATAATAATAATAATAATAATAATAATAATAACAACAACAACAACAACAACAACAACAACAACAACAACAACAACTTTATTGTCATTGTACATGTATATACAGTATACCCATACAATGAAATTCACTTAACACCCAAAGACCAGGTCCAACACACCTAACAATCCCCAAACACCCCCACCCACCCACCACAAATTCCCCACCCCAAACCACCCAAACATCCACACACCAGACCAAGTAATGCTGTCCAAGAGCTCACTGATGGTGGCCCTTTAGTTCATTGTTGAGTGTAATTATAGCTCTGGGATAAAAACTATTCAGAAAACGTGTGGTCCAAGTTTTAATTAATTATAGCCATAAGCAAGAGACTCATCCCAAAATAAATACTTTGATTTTATTGAGAAGCCTTATAACTATTGTGTTTTGCACTAGATTTAGATCTCCGGTAGGATGTTCTTTGCACTTGATTATCATGTGTCCACCTAAGTAACTGTCTTTAGAATGGAGCTTTTGAAACCAGGAAATAAAGTCAGAAAATTAAACCAAAGACCCAAGTTTATATATATTTCAAATTGTTTGCTTTAAAGAAATAATAAAAAAAAACCATGCATATACTCAGCACTTAGACTGATGGCACTAAGAACTTGGCTTCTAGTCTGCTCCCTCCTATATTGTGAAAGAGACGGACTGACTTTTATAGGAATTCTCTGGAGTTAATGTGTTTCAGCTTGTAGTCCAAGAACCCAGCTGCAAAGCCTGAGCTATACAGCCAAAATACTGATGATCTGATAAAGGGGCATGTAACCTGTGACAATGTGACTTTCTTATTGTGAGAGTGATCAATGTTTATGTTAGGTTCTCTCTTTTCTTTCTGTTCCTTTCCCCCTCACCCCCTTTTTGGTCTGAATAAAAGGCTTGTTGTTTCAAAAATGGCCATCTCTGAGAGAATGCTTTGTTGCCATAATGGCCATCATGATTCAGAAACTTATGATTAACTTAATCATGATTTATTCACTTTGTCGAGCCATAGGCTGATCATTTGTGATTCAATATGTCACACTGACATACCAGTAAGTCACATAAGGATGTTATTTCCTATGGAGCTCGTCAAAGTCATCTGGCAAGATTGGGCCATCTTTCAATTGTAAGCCTCCCAGAGTCATTTACTGAGATGGGCAGCTATAGAAATCAAGCAAACAAATAAATACATCTTACCACAAAATGTTTTGATCAGTGCTAAACTTCTAGGCTTGCTAATAGTCATACAGTTATTTTCTTCTGTTGCATATGTATATGTCAGGATCAGAACCTCAATTCAAATTATTTTTGTATAATATTTGTGTTAAATCAATTTTTCAAGTTTGTTGTGTTTTTATTACATACGGACATATGGAGCACCCATTTGCATGCCTGCCGCTGATTGGTTAATTTAGTGGCGGGAAAAATAAACCACTGTCAGTGGCCGGCAAGACTGCCGGGGCTCTTTAAAAAAGAGAGCTCCGACAGCCTGCCTCCCTCTTGCTCCTGATAGCAGCTGGAAATAAAGTACTGAACGGACTACGGCGTCCTGCCTCTTCTATTTGCACCCCCTATCTAACAGTTTTGTTTTCATTTATTTAGCTCACTAAGAGTTTGAGAAAATTTTCTCTAAGCTGGTGCCCTCCAGATACGTTTGGATTCAGACTTCCAGAACTCCAGAAGCTGTTGTCCCATCTCATTTGGCAGGCACCAGATTGAGGAAGGTTGCCTTGAACATTTGTTAATTTCTTTCTTTTGAGAAGGATGACTCGTTGTCTCTTTTGGGCCTTACTCTCAGATACATGTATACAAAATTAAGCTCTGTCTATAGTACCTTCTTCGTCCAACTTCCTGAAGGTGAGCACAGTGTGCTGGTCAGCTATGCTAATACGTATTCTATGTTTTAAAAAAACCAGAAAACTTTCTAACAGATAAATTGCACTCCGGTAATAATCAGCTTACCTGGTCACACATTTTTTTTCCCCGACTACCAACTATATGTTTTAGCCCTAGAACAGCATTTAAAGTTGCCAATTGACAGGACAGCCCATTGGGACCCCATCAAAAAGCTTATCGTACTTCTCCCAAGATTCAAATACGTGGGTAGTAAGAAAGACTGCCACATTTGTAGCTAAAGCCATTCAATTGAGTGATCTAGATAGATAACTCTCAACTGATTGTGATCAGTTTACTAAGGGATGATCTTACCTGATTATTTAAATGAATATTTTTATATCACCATATTGTTTTATCATTTTATATGATATGTTCATTAGATTCATCAATAAATCTGCTATAATATACTGATAATGCTAGGCATCCTCTCCTCTCCTCTCCTCTCCTCTCCCCTCCTCTCCTTTAATTTTCCTCTCCTCCCACAGGCATCTACACATTTCTTTCTAGCAGCTTGAAATCCCTGGAGGAAAAAGAACATATCCATCGTGTTCTGGATAAGATTACTGACACTTTGATGCATTTAATGGCCAAATCCGGTCTTTCCCAACAGCAGCAACATAGGCGCTTGGCTCAGCTCCTCCTCATCCTTTCCCACATCAGGCACATGAGGTGAGTGGTTATCCAGCAGGCTTTAGCACATGGCTGCTTGCTGCTGTCTTCTGTGTAAAAGAGACCTCTTCCTGAAATGTGCTATCATGGTTAAACTTAATGGAATGATAAGAGTCATGGGGAAATTGACAGTACAAGGTAAACTTTGCCAATGTTTAAAATCCCTTGAGAGCCGCTAGAATGCTGGAAATCATTTAAACTTTAGCATTCATTTGTGCTGCAAATGGCAAAGGGAGGTGTGTTAGATGATGTTCTCAAGATTTATTTGGGCTTGACCTCAGTTACTTTGGATAGTGCAATGGTAAATGTGCTAGTTTTATTATGACAGCCAAATTTACTTCTTGTTACACGTCTGTCATTGCATTCTTTTGTTTGTTGTATGTTTTCAATTTATTCATTCATTTTGGATCATTCCATTATACAGTGCCCAAGTATTTTCAAATGCACTGTAAAGGTCAAATGTGATTAGAAAATTCTGTGTTTGTTTTAAAAAGTGCTATAGTACCATTGTTCTTAAAATGGGGTACTAATCTGAGGTTTTCAGATGACTCTTTTGGCTTGATGCCTTGTCTCTGGAGTACTATCTCCCTCCATTGAAATTTGTACAGTTCCCTCCCCAATGAATTCCAGAAATCTTTGAATTCCTGTTATTCTCCCAAGTTTTGGGTAGGGTGTATGTTGAGCCCCTGTTGGGTATTTTATTTTGATTTTTTTTCCCCTGGATGTGCATGATTCTTTTTCTTTCTTTAAACTGTAAACCACCCAGAATAATCTGGAATTGGATGGACCCTAAATTTAATTAATTAAATGACTAAATTATCCATAGTCAGATTGCTGCTTTTCCAGTATAATCCACAATCTACATTTTACTGCCCCACTTAGGCAGGCTAGTCATCAATATATTTGAACATGCTTTGCATCATTCAAAACAAACCCCCAAACAAGAGTAGAGTCAAACTTGGAATCTCTTGGGATAATGGTATTTAATTTTATTTTTATGTGAACCTCTAGCAATAAAGGGATGGAGCACCTCTATAACATGAAGTGCAAGAATGTGGTCCCACTTTACGATTTATTGCTGGAGATGCTGGATGCTCCCGTCTGCATGCTCCTGCAGCTAAGCCCCACAATGAAGAGGAGATTTCAAACCAGCTGGCCGTGGCACCTGCTTCAATGCATTCCTTACCTCCTTGCTATGTGAACAAACAGGAAGATGAACCTATGCCAGAAGCAGTCTGAATTTAGATTACCAACAGCCTACAGGATTCTGAGCATCCCATCAAAAAACGCCAGGCTTAGATGAACTGCTACCATATCCTAAGCACTCCAATACTCAACGATTACCAGTGATTCCCAAAACAATGATGGTCAACTTCATTAATGGCAGAACATTCATAATTTTGGACATAATAGGTGGTTTTATATATATAAAAAAGTGTGTTTGTGTTAGTAAAACACAAGCCTGAGGATTCCTGTACTCTGTTTGCTGGTATCATATAGAGAAATTGGATGATCTTTCATTTTTAAATCAATTGGGCAAAAATCCCAGCTGAGTTGAGTAGATGATGTTTACATGTAACGTTTATTGGCTGTTTGGTGGATACAAGAAAAGTATACCACCCAGAGACAGTATACAAAGCAATGGTGGTTAAGGACTAAGATTCGGTTAGACTCCCATTTAAAAAAAAAAAAATAAGAGAAAAGAGAAGGGAAAATATGGATTTAATATTTCCCTGTTGGGATTCATTCCTTTCAGTGACATATATACAATTTTCAAATAGATTCATCTATCCTCTCAAACTTCGAAGGATGCTCCAGTTTATTTCAGCAAGAAAAGCCCCTCAGTTAACTTGTTAAGATAACTGTGAGATGCTAAATTCTTGGGGTATCCCCAAGGGGGATGGCTTAGCCCTACAGTTTACCATAGTAAAGATAAGCAGGTGGACTGAAAATTCATATCATTATTTTTAAAAAGTGGCATAATTCAATTCATTGGCCTGCTAAATTCACAATGAGGGGTCCAAACGTAACAGATGTCTCCCCATATCAATCTGAGGGTGAATTTCTGTGCTGACCATTACAAAAGCTAATAAACCATAGCCCAATTAAAATATGAAATTGTATCAATTAATTGTGAATCGCCTCAGGACCTCTGGCTGAAAATATAATTGATCAGTTTATACATAGTACACCATCTACTTCATACCTTAACTGACAGATCACATAAGAACTGTGAAAACCCAACTGATCATGTGAAAAATTACGTCCATGCTGCCAACTGCCAGGAATGGAATGGTCTGTCCATTCTACTCGCTCGCTTTCCACTGGAGGTAACTTTGTGGGAGAGCTGCACCTGCACATATCTAGGCGGTATCTGAAAATAACTTTCAGAAAATCCCAGGTCTGTTCAATCCAATCAGCGCTCCATAGTAGGAAAGTCATCTGTCTCCTTGAGCAAGGTCCTGGATTTGCATGTGATGCTCCCCAATATCAGCCAAAGCAACAAAGTCCCAAAGGTGCTTTTTCAAGAGGAAACTGGACTTTCCGGGTTTTTCTTTGAAGACATTTTGCTTCTCCTTCCATTCCCCACCATCCAGACAAGAGCTGAAGAAGCTTCTTGGATGAGAAGCAAAATGTCTTCAAAGAAAAACCAGAAAGTCCAGTTGCCTCTTGAAAAAAAGCACCTTTGGGACAACCATGATTTGGATGACTGAGAATCTCTATACACAAAACAACAGAGCTTTATGTTGAGTCACAACTGGTGGCGAGAGAACAATGAAGAAAGGACAAGAAAGTTTTGCACTGCAGCTGAGATCACAACCTGTCCTTTGGATCCTGCACATATTGACCCCTTCCGAAGCGAAGCGCACACATCCAGGGCAGGGCAGGTCAAAATCTACAAATGATCGACAGCAACCACTTTTGTTAAAACGTATTCCCTTCCCAAATATATGCCTAAATGTTATGGATCTCCTCTTGTTTTTATAGTGCTCTTGCCAATACTTCTAGCCTGAGCGTCGTTGCTAATGGCCTTGCTTTTTATTAATAGCATAAAGTACCTATTTTCAAAACATAAAAAGAACAAAAATCAATGGTCCTGCTTTGACATTTGATATGAAGTGCCTTGCCAAAAATGGGTACACTTGTATCCTTTGAAATAAGACAAAATGCCCAAAATGTATATATGCTGTATATACAATATATTACATTGTTCATATTATATTGTAATATATTGCATGATATATTAATAACAAAAAGGGTTCTTGTAAGGCCATAATCAAAGAATGCAAATTTTACCGTAGTCATTTATACCCAGCTGTTTACTGCAAATCTAGATATTTTTAACTGGGAGTTTAGCCCCACAGAAGCAGTTGGACATACTTCTGAATAGACAAGCATAGGATCAGGCTACAGTAATATAATTCAATATTTCTATTTTTATAAGGGAAAACACTTTTGCTATTTTTCTACTGGTTCTTTAAGGGTAGAAAGATTTAATTGTATGTGTTGCTTTGGTCGGTTCCCCCCCCCCTTCACTTCTGCTGGATTGGAAATTCCATCTAAGACCTAAAAAGAAGGCTTGGAAGCTTTCCTCCCCATCCGAGTGAATGGTGAACATTTCAAGTACAGGACCTCAGTAGGTCCTTTGTATGCCAATTGGGTAGATTTCTGAGTAGATATACGTAACTGTAACTCAGTTTCTGTCTATCCTCATACAGTGCAAAAGATTAAAATTGGTCTCAGTCTATTTAAGTAATGTACACTACATCCATTTTTCTAACAAAAACCATGATTTTGCCTTGACAAATTAACAGGCAAAAGGGATGCAAATAAGGAAGCCGGAAATGGCAAGGAATGGAACTAGGCCCTTAGCACGGGAAGGTGAGATGTGTTTAGTTTTAATGCCAGCATACCTGGGACAGGTCCGGCTTGGGAATTGAAATCGCTTTTTGTTAAATGTGTGAAACTTAAGAAAAATATCTAGTTGTCATTATTGTTAGTTTGCTGGAAGCGTTGTATTACCCTTATTGCTATTGTTTGTTGAAAGCACCTTACTGAATGCAGTGTGTGTGTTTCTGTGCATTTAATACACACATGCAAAGCTCACCTATCAGACAACTGAATGTAGCTCTTCTATATAACCAGACGACAGGTTAAAATACAACAAAACCACAGGAAAATAAATTCCTTTTCAGTTATCTTCTCTCATATGCAATCAGGTGTGCCTAAGGCTTAGCGATTGTTAAAAATCATTACTGCATGTCAATCAAATGTTATATTCCTGAGGGACGAGACAGGTCTAGGAGTAAACACACAAAAAAAACCTTGTCCTTCAACAAAGGACTTTCATGGAAGCTAATTCTGTTTTTTCTCCACATCCAAAGGACATTTCCTCAAATGGGTTCCTAATAGTAGGCAAATATGAGTTTGTAACCCACCTTGCTGTCTGGGGAATTCTGGGAGTTGAAGTCCACAAGTCTTAAAGTTGCCGAAGTTGGACACCTCTGATTTAGAGGCTCAAAGAAGAAAAGAGGGAGCTGTAAATTTTTATTCGGGCTTTTATAAGGGCGATTTTTCTGTGTGCAAAACCTTTCTTTAAATTTGAGTGTCATTGTGGATTCTAGTTCAGGCTGATTTCCTGCCAACCATCTCCACTGCCTCCAGCCCTCCTCTTGAGGCAGTGCAGGATGTACTTAGCCCCTCTGGTCAAGTTCCCATTACTCACAACCCAATCTATAAAAAGATTAATCACTGATTCCTGGGTGAAGAGGCTTAGTTGTTATGAATTATGCCCTTCAGTGAAATGGCAACAGCCATTCTGCTTTTTCAGCCACATATAAATCTGTAATTTTGGAGACTATTGAGAATTCTTCACCATGAAGGAATCTCAGTGAGAGGCAAATAGGGAGAGAACACAAATTAACAGCTGCAATCCCATGGCTGTAGAAAGCACAGGATTCTCTCTGCTCTTTAAGCCCTTGAGACAAGATTGCCCTCTGTTTTGTGCAATTAAGGCAGTCCCTCCCACGATTGTCCTCTTAGGCTCCGGCTAAGAAACATTCACCTTTTGTGATGTTTTGATAGTCAGATGGACACAGATTAAGTTCCAAAGCAGCTCTGGAACAAGAGTACAAATATAAGATTACCAGTTGTCTGGCAAAAGGAGGGCATGTCTTCAGGTTCTCTGCCTGGCAGGCACAGCCTTAAAAAGCAAATATCGTTGGCTTTTTGAGTATCTACAAACTATCACTTCCTGAGTAGCTTTTCTCTGGAGTGCAGCACTCCCCTAATGAGTGCTAACAACAAGTTAACAAGCTCCACACTGTGACCTTGATTAATACCCTCCTGCTGGCTCGGCTGCTATCTGAAACTGACAAGACCTTAATCAGTTACATGCCTCTAGCACATTCTGCAATTGGAAAATTAGTCTTTCTGATGTTGAAAAAATATTTTGATATACTTGTATATGCAGGCTTAAGCTTTGGGGCTTTTCCCCCCCTGTAATTTTTGTCACAGATGCCATGTCCTTTCCCTTATTTGTCCTCATTCAGCTTTCTGATAACCCTATACAACAAAGCCTCTGCTTCTCTGTGAAAAAAATGGCAATCATTGTGAGGGTTCATTGCGAGACCCAGTTTCTAAAATCAATCACGTTGCTATGATTTCAGAAGGTGGACACCACCAAATTGCCAATCAGCTAGGTCTTTATCGTATATATCACAGCCTTATTAATCATCCTGAATTGAAATGTGCATTCCTATTTACATCAAACAATGCATCCATCTGGTTTAAAAGGCACCTCAATAAGCATTGCAATGTCTTCATTCACACAGTGGTCCTGTGCCCAACTCTTGCTGGATATTGGTGCTAGTGTTTGCCATATGTTTTGGTGTGAACCTGAGCCTTCATTTTATACACATGTTCTTAATGCTATTGCTTTTAACACCTAAGCTAGAAGCCAACCGTTCGACCAGCGGACTTTTGGATCTTAAGCTATATTTTTTGCAGAATCAGTCAAATGAATCAATTGTTCTGCCTTGCAAGCTCGCTCTTCTGAAAGCTCTTTTCAAATGCACTATGGCTTTGTAATGTGATCCTTCAGATCTGAAGTGAGCACTAGTCAAGATCTGAACTTCTTGCAATGCTTTTAAGCTATCAGCCTAACATTGTTGAAGTATAATTGTCATATACAGTAAACCTTGGAGGTACCAAAAATACTTTTAATGCTCAAAAACCTTTTTCCTGTCATTGGTGCATTCTCTCATTTTAATTCAATTCTGGATGTATTTCGGTCTTGAATGATGTTTTGTAAACAATTGTTGCCTTTTAAGGGACTTTACAGTTTTGCACTGTCCTGGAAAGATTTTTGTAATGAACCTATTTGTTTTGCATTCAAATGTGCCTGAATTTATATGCTGCCATGCTGCCAATCTGTCTTTAGTAGGAATGTTATTCTGCAATGCACCTTTTAAAACAAAGCCGTTTGCTCCTCAATCTTGAGGTGCCCGCTGGATTATGATAAACATTAATAGTCAAAAGATGCTAGTTAGAAAATAAACCCAAACAGGCTACTTTATGCCACATTATTGTACTTTTTTTTTTAATGAAGCTTTGTGCACTACATTACCTTTTCATTGTAAAGTTTTCCCTTTATTATGAGGCTTGTGTGCCATAATGTATTTGTTGAATTATTCTGCTCTTTTGCTAAAGCACATAATAGCATAATTGGTGTATTTGTTTTGTTAGAATTGCTTTGTTAAATGAAAAAAAAAAAGAAGGTTTAATCCTTTTTTTTGTTTCTTTTTTTTTTTTTTGCACATTTGAAAGAATGTTAAAAACAGCTTTTTAAAAAAATCAGCAGGATACTTGATCTGTCAAAATTTTCTCAGCTTTGATGTTGAAATAAAAAAGTGAATTATACCATTGGAATATGTCAGTGGATTTCTTAAGTTTATCTCGGAGGGGGTTAAATCACTTAATTAATTAACACTTACCTTTGTCTCATTTAGCTGTAGTTTGTATTTGTTTCTCTTTGAATCTAAAGTAATGTTATAGAATGCTTAATGATGTGAAGAAAAGGATAGGAATTAATTAAATAATTAAATAAATAAATAAATAACTTAATAATTAAAACAGAATGAAGAAAAATTCCAATGGCTTTAAAGTGTAGATAAAAGGGGCAAATCATGAAATTTATCCTCTTAAAGCAGATTTGTTAAATATACAAAAGTCGGCTGGTTTCAGTCAAAAAAACTAATTACCCCCTAGTTACATCAAGACCATGCTGTTCATTCTTCATCTGTCCCTTACTCCAGCAGTAATTGCAAAAAACAAATTTGTAAGCAAAATCACAGCACTCTTAAAATTTAGAAGCACATTTCAGGATTGGAGGTCTGTAGATATGTACCAGTATCAAAGTGAGTTTCTTCTCCTTGGTCAGAAGCTGAGATCTACTTTGGATTAATTGACGTCATGTTAAAGTGAGGCATATCCTAATTTTAGCCTTTGTGAATGCAGGCTTAAAACGTTTTGGTAATATTGAGGAGATTAACATTCCTGAAGGGGTTAAGTTTAGGGCGTCTATAATATTGGTTGGTTCTGGTATAGTTGAACAATGCTTTCCAAATCAGATAATTAGGCAAGAGCACATAATCTTTTCATAGCTTTACTTGGACTATTTCAAAGGGATCAGAACCATCCTTCATGGTAGAAAATTGTTTTTTAGGATGTTCCCCCCCCTCCATTAATACTACATCTGGGACAGAAGAAAAACAGGAAGAAGAAAACAAATCCCATTTTAGGCTAAATATTACTATTAGTGATGTGTTTATTGCTTGTCTTATGGTATCCTAGCCATACACGCAACAATATTTTCTTTTCAGATGCTATACCAACATAGTCATTAGTAAATTCCAGATCAGTTAATAAAGGGGGAGCAGGGCATTTTAGGAGAGAAATCAGGGCAAGGAGATGAGATCAATTGCCTTAAAATTAACTATAATTTATACTGAAGCTATTAACAAATAAATTTAATACATTAAATAAATTAACCATGGCTTGGGAGAATATGAATGCATTACATGTACCTCCTGATTATTGGTATGCAGGGAACTGTATGTTGGCTTGCAGGTAGTCTACAGTTCAATCATCCTAGTTTACATAAAATAACATGACCACATGTTTGGGGGGAAATGGACTTAACTTACACTTGGCAAACACTGACCAGATATGTGAATAATGACCAGTACTATCTCATTACCATTAGGCCAGACTCCTAAATGTGACGTGAGTAATAAAACAAGTAACATTGTTTACTTTTGTTCAGTCTTACTGAAACATTCATGTGAAAGCATTATTTGTTTGTGCCGATGCCTCATGCATTGAAAGTTTGCTTTGGGCAATTTTTGGTTAATGTGCCATTCTTTTCTAGACACCAGCAATTTAGCACTTAATTTCACAGTTAAGTGATTGACAAGACTCACAAAGGTTTTAACGTTCTGAAACTATTTTTTTTTATTATTATTAACACCCAAAGTATACTTTTTCTGTGGCCCTTCAGACTTTGATCAGCTCCCCTTCAGTATGGTACCCTGCTGGCATGACTACAGAGGATTGTTCAGGTGACAGGCACACGATGTTGGGAATGTTAGAAATTAGCAGGCTGCATGTATATTACTCAGATTAGCTTGTCAAGGCAGATTGCAGTCACAAAACCCTCAGCAAACGGAAGGTTATGTCAATTCACACAATTGATCATAAATCCAGCTGAAAAAGGCATTACAGTTCAATTGGTCCCTCCCTTGGGTAAGGGCCCTACATTCTGAGCTGCTTTCCAATATGGAAAACAAACTGTGGTGCAGTTAGCAAAGCCAGGCGTGAAGGGCCTGTTATTCAAAGCCAATGTTCTTGTGCATCATTTCTCACTTTCTTGGGCAGAGCAGACAAAAATTCAAAGAATTCTGAAGCAAGGTGCAATTTGGGTTGTCTTGATGAAATAAATCCAGCCATGAATAACAATTATGTTCAGTGCCTACCATCAGTGCCATCACCACCGCCCCTACCTCCTCCTCCTCATCGTCGTCTTCATGGATGCTTCAACTTCATCCATGCTCAGCAGGTGAAGCAATTAAGGTAATGGTTTGTGGCAAATCACCTGCACACCTGTGTCCTGCTCAGCAATGGCCATTGAAGTGTTGTTCAAGTCATTTCTGAGGGAATGGCAATCTACTGGAATTAGTACAGGGGTGGGTTCTAAATTTTTTTACTACCGGTTCTGTGGGTGTGGCTTATTTTGTGGGTGTGGCTTGGAGGTCATGTGAGTAGGTGGGCGTGGCTAGCTGGTCAGTCATTTCTGGAAGGTCCTCACACTTACGACCAGTCCTTGCACTTACGACCCGACTCATTTGTTTGCTTTTAACACTGATCAGCTGGAGGACGGCCCTTTGAAGCCCCGCGGCAAGAGTTTAAACAGTTTTTTTCCCTCTAGTCATCAGCTGGGACTCAGGAGGCAGCAATAGATTGGGGGTGGGACCAAATAAAAGGTAAGAATAATGTGGGTGGGTGGGCGGGGGGGGAGAACCAGTTCGGTGACGTCATATCGTCACCGCTACCGGCTCGGCCGAACTGGACTGAACCGGGAGGAACCCACCACTGAATTAGTAGTATAACTAAGATGTGGGATTCAGCATTGCTATGTTACTGAATGAAAATGAACCGCTTTCAAACAAGCCTAAGGCTCTTAAACATTATAAAACATAATTTGCATGAGATTTTTTTCAACTTTTGAGTCAGAGTTAGTGATCATGACTGATCAGATTATCACAGAGCTGTATATTTTTTTAAAATCAGAAGATTGTGATTTTAAGATTCATCACATTGTTTCAGATATGGGTAACTGAATTGAAAATCTGGTTTTATCTATTAGTGACTCTTTAGAATTTTTTTCTATCCCATCTTTAATATTTGTTTTATAAATAACTCAAGACTGCAAACATATATAATACTCCTTCCACCTCGTAGTTTCCCCAAAACATCAATCATGTGAGAAAACTGCAGTCTGTTGAATAATCTTCCAGGCTACAATTTGACAGAACATGTGACCATATCCATGGGGTTGTGCATAAATATTTTTCCAGAATAAGAGTCCATGTTTATTAGCTATAAGGACACCACATTAACATTTACTGCATATTCTCAGTTTGTAGTTGTAGTAGGAGGGAGAATGTGTACACATCTGTGGTGGGTTTCAAATTTTTTTCCTACCGGTTCTGTGGGCATGGTGGGCGTAGCAAGGCTTGGGGGCGTGGGCATGGCTTGGTGGGCGTGGCTTGGTGGGCATGGCAGGGGAAGGATACTGTTAAATCTCCATTTCCTCCCAATCAGCTGGGACTCAGGAGGAAGAGAATAGATGGGGGTGGGGCCAGTCAGAGGTGGTATTTATCGGTTCTCCGAACTACTCAAAATTTCCACTACCGGTTCTCCAGAACTGATCAGAACCTGCTGAAACCCACCTCTGGTACACATGTCTAAATTCATACACAGAAACAAAAAAGACTATTTGGAGAAAAATCAGAAAAGACACTGGCCATACTTCAATTCCAGAGGTACATGGGGGTTGAATCCATATATAATCTTTTCACCTTTGCAAAATACTTGTTGGACTGGCCTGACAGTGAAGAGTGGATCCCACTGGTCCCGGAAAAATTAGTTGCACCCACACTCAAGAATCTGCTGCCCATATTTATATTCTCTTCTTAGAAATGATGTGACATCGTGATCCATGTGGTTTAGACTAATTTTCTGTCACTCTGATTGGCTAATCAGATTTTGAAGCTGTATCTGATATTTCATGGGTAAAAAGACTCTGGAATCTTATTCAATCCCCTAAGCAATGGAGACTTTAAGACATGCTGCCTTTTCTTTTTGGAACAAACCAATATATAGGAAATGCTTTTTGTCTCCATAACCTAGGCTGCCAGTGATTAAGAAAGGCTTCCTAACAGTTATTCATTACTAATTGTTGATATTTTATACCTTACAAGTTATTGCATGTGGATGTGTCCCATATTAGGATAATCATTTCCCTATTTCATTAACTTTCATCTCTCATGGTACTACACATTGATAACCCTGGCCCTCCAACATTCATGAAATTAACAGCTCCCAGCATCCCTCACCATCATCCCTATTGGCTGGAGCTGCTGCTGAGACATGTCATTTGGCAATCTCCAGAAGGCCACCTGTTCCCTCTCCCCAAAGCGCCAGCTCATCCCATCTGGAATCTATCAGTTTTGAATATTGATGTTAATAGAACAAACATAGTGGTGTTAACATCTTGGTTCTTCAAATAAAATACATTAAAACAACCCAGAGCACTTTGAGTTTTCCTTTAAGATGTTTCTTTCTACTCTGATGAAGAGCCATTTCATAAAATTCTGATTTTTATCTGCTGCTTGCAATGCATAGCAAAGTTTGGCTTCTACCAACATTGTCGTTTATCTCTTTGAAGCAACTTTATATTTGGCAGTCTAAATAGATGGCTTTCATCAGGTTGCCATTTATTTTTTAGCACTGTATACAAATCACTTAACTGTGATTAAGATCAAGAGTCCTTTCTTCAAACAACATATTAATACTACTGTTGAGCCATCATCTCTGATGCTTCCAAACTCCACATCAGCTTTGGAACAACCAGTTTATAACTTGGGAGACTTTCCTTTTCTTTCTTTCTTTCTTTCTTTCTTTCTTTCTTTCTTTCTTTCTTTCTTTCTTTCTTTCTTTCTTTCTTTTTCTTTCTTTCTTTCTTTCTTTCTTTTTCTTTCTTTCTTTCTTTCTTTCTTTCTTCTTTCTTTTCTTTTCTTTTCTTTCTCTCTCTCTCTCTCTCTCTCTCTCTCTCTCTCTCTCTCTCTCTCTCTTTCTTTCTTTCTTGC